TGTGCTTAGACCGAGTGCAATAACACACAGGTGTGTTTGTAGAAAGCACTCGCCCACACATAGTTAAAGAATACTTTGACTAATCCACCGGAGGGATGTGATTGGTGCATACAATATAAGGGCTTGTTTTTGCTTTCAAGACCAACGGCCGAATGTGCATCTTGAAATAATATAACATTTCCTGTGTAGCCACTCCAACCAATCAAAGTCAACAAATCAGAATTTGTAATGTAAACACTGCATGTGAAGTGGGTTACTCCCCTAGAGAGCAGAAGTGAGTAACTTTAAGAACTGCACAGACACGTTCTGTATTTAATCGCAGAAGAAACAACACAACGATCGAGGAATTTCACATCTTCATTTTAAATGGCGACCTCATTTTTACTCAACACCGGCGCGAAGATGCCGCTTCTGGGTCTCGGCACATGGAAGGTAGGGCGACAATCGCACACCTAAATCATTTTATTTCGTGCGCCAGCAAGCGTGTAATGTATATTTTTCAAAACGTTCCTCCCAGCTATTCCTACTTCATGATTCCTTTAGTGATTTCGTACTTTGATTTTCGTGTTAAAGTGCAGGGAAAGCGGTTACCAAGATTTGCTTCGTACAGTATTCCTGTCAGAGGAGAAACAATGGACTAATTGAGAATTTCTGGACGGCGCAACCTGAGTTTGCACGATAGTTGCACAAAAGTGCTGTACAGTAGATTCGGCAATACGTCCGCCTTCTGGTAAAATGAAAATAATCTGGTGTTACAAATATACTAGGAGGGCGGAGCCTTTAACGCACAGAATCGATGAACATTTTTTTAAATAAAGAGTATTGACTTGGTCACCGAAAAGAATAGATAAATGGGCCGGTAAGAGAATACCTGAAAAATAAAAAAATCAATTTTCAGCCTAATTTTTCTGTAAAAATACTGCAGGCCTCATAATCTTTAGAACTTGCAAAAAAAAAACCGCCCTGGTAGCAGAGACCAAGATATTTTTGACAAAAATACTTATTTGTTTGTAAAAGGTTTTTTTTTTTGTTGCAAATAACAGTTTTAAGGCGAGTTGTACTGTAGGTGCACCTACAAAGGTGATAGAAAACGTTTCACACAACAGTATAATGCATGCATGAAGAATATATTTGCATCTCGTGCCAAGGTAAAATTCCATCCATTTATTTTCTAAATCCGTCCTTCAGTTCAGGGCTGGGGGAGTTTGAGCCTGTCCCAGCAAGCAACAGGCGCAGGGGGAGATACCCCCTGGACTGGGAGCCAGTCCATCGCTGGGCACACACAGACACAAACACACACAAGAGCCAGTTTTCACAGAAGTGAATCAACCTGTCTTAGGACACAGCACCTGCAGGAAACCCATACATACATGCAAACACAGGGAGAACACACAAATTCTACGCAGGTAGGACCCCACTTCCAGAACTGAGCCTAGGGCATGAGTGCTGCAAGGCAGAAGAGCTAACTGCTGCACCACTGTGCTCCCCCAGGGTAAAACTGAATCAATCATTATTAACAGTACATAATACACTAAAGCCATTGATTGCTCTTGAGTATTTTTTATAATCATTGCTTTACATCTTGAGAATCCTTTTGTGTCATTCCCCTGCTTTTATTACACACTGTGGATACTCAGAAGTGTACTGCAGACTAGTCACTACAAAGGACAGAGCCCAGTAACAATGCCTGTCTGAAATACAGCCACTCTCTGAACAGATGGAGGACTGATTGTTTCGCCATGCTTATATGTACAAAAGCTTGAAGAAGCTGACCCGTTAAATAAAAAGCTCAGATGGACATATGAGAAATGATTTCACCAGGTGAATAAAGTAGGAACATTTTGGTAGGTCAGATTGTGTAGGGCCTGAGTGGAATTTATCTAAAACTCTAACGCGCCCACTCTTACAAACAGTGCTATTGAAGCTTTAACGACTAAAGGTCACCACACTCATGCATTAGGTTGCAAATAAGAGAAGAGTGCCACCTACAGTATGTAGGACTGAATATCTGATTACAGTAAGGGACTGTAAATGAATGCTGTGTTCGCTGTACTGTAGGTGGTTCAAAGCATAAAGATGTTCTTTTTAATTTAAAGTATTGACTTTCTTGTATATGTAACATGTCTAGTTATTGATACTATATGTCTAAGAGACAAATGCATCTTGCACCATATAAAACAAACACAGACCAGCTGTATGAAACTGAAACTATGAAAGACTTTTGCCTCCATCCATTTGAATTTTGCAAGATTTGTGCAGGTAGTCTTGAGAATATCATTCTTTAGAGAGGCATGCTTTATTTGTAATAGGCAGCTTTAAATGTTAAATTATCACATATAATTAGGTACAGTACATCATGATAGAAATTCTAACAAAGGACAAGTCGTTTTATATCAGTATTTTTAGATTCCTACAATTCTTTGGGGAGTTTTTTTCATTACACAGAACTTTTCTAAGTTCTGACGGATTTTTTATCTGTTAATATTTTAGTCTCCTCCAGGCAAGGTTTGTGAGGCGGTGAAGGCGGCCATCTCTGTGGGTTACCGCCACATCGACTGTGCCTTCATCTATCAGAACGAGAATGAAGTGGGAGCTGCCATACAGCAGAAAGTCAAGGAGGGGGTAGTGAAGAGAGAGGACCTTTTCATCGTCAGCAAGGTAACTGATGTAGACATTGTGGGAAACCAATGGGAAAAGATGGGATGAAAACAAGAAACATGATCTTCTTCTAAAGACAACCAAGAAAGTGTAATACAAATACTCCCTCTGTATTGTACTAGAAAAAGTGATTTTTTTTTTAAAGCAGACATTTCCATTCCAAAACCTATGTGGCCAAAATGTAGCAGTACTGTTCCCTGCTAATCTGAGATAGATTCTTGAGATGTTCATTAATTCCAATGGAAATTTCACGAAGAAGGTTGAGCGTTTCGTTCCTAATGACAAATCAATCCCACAAATCCAACACTCTTCAATTCCAAAAGAAAATATTGTCATGTTCACAGTTCCCTGAGTTTTTCTTCTCCAGCTCATAGGGTTTCACTCAGGGTGAGTGTCAGTTTCTCATCTGTTGAGTTCTTAGACTGCAAATCCAGTAGAGTGTTCTGCCTTGTTACGGACAGTCTATGAAAGGTCTGACATATAGAGTAACAAAGCATCACTAGGTTTATGTTTCTCAACCACAACAAGGTGAGAAAGCCCTTGATCAGAACTGGAGATGAAAGCAGGATTTAAGGAAGAAGCATAGTGGGGTTAACACTCAAACAGTATCATAGGATTTTTAAAGACCTCAGGAAACTAGAATTTGTGGTTCAGACTGAAGAGAACAACTTATGACCAATAGGACTCCCATCAGCAACCTGAAACTCACTAGAAGTGATCTATAATACTGACCAGGTCTAACAAAGCTCACTTAGCTTGTGAGTTCTGATGTGATAGGGCTCTCAGGAGTGACTGCTACAGGATGAAAATGAATGTATGTACAAATGTTAGAAATGACTCCAAATCATTGGCCGTCTAATCAATTGATTTTCGTCTCCACAGCTGTGGTCCACCTTCCATCACAAGTCAATGGTGAAGGAGGCCTGTCAGAAGACTCTAACTGAACTGAAGCTTGACTACCTGGACCTCTACCTCATGCACTGGCCCATGGGGTTCAAGGTGAGCTGTCTGTTATAGATGTACAGGGACACTCTCATCAATTCTGTCACGCAGTTGCCATTGTGGGTGATTACAGCCCTAATGTTATATTCTGATTAATACACTGTACAGTTAACCCTGCTAACTACCGTCACGATTTGAGTCACAGCAGAATATGCAAAGTCAGAGAAGGGAAACAGTGAGAAGGTACAGCAGGAATGTATCTTAATCAAAGGTACCATTCACTTATTTTATATAAAAATTCAAAAATAATGGAGAAGAAGTGAATATATATTGGATTGGATGTTCATGTGGATTTCCTCCAGGTGACCTTGTTTGCTTCCACAGTCCAGAAACATAGTGGTGTGAGTGGTGTGTTTGTGTGTGTCTGCATCGATCCAGTATGTCCTGCCTTGTGCCGTTTGCTTGCCAGGATAAGCTCGTGCTTCCCTGCAACCCTGAATTGGAAGAAATGATTAGAAAAGCGATGGATTTAGCAGGCAAGTTAGATGTCTAAATTGTCAAGACTCATTTTCCAATATTGTAGAAAATGTTTACTATTAACATATGTTAGCCCCTTAATGTCTGTGAAGTTCAAAAACCACACAGGGATTTCCTGCATACAATTGAAACCACAAATGAATTTCCTATCAAATTCTGCATTGCAGCCTGGCGATGAGCTTTTTCCTCTGGACAGCAATGGTCAAATAGTGCCAGATGACACAAACTTCCTTGATACTTGGGAGGTGAGATAAACAACCGTCGCTCAAGATAGAGTAACATAAAATCATTTATTAAACCAAATGATAGTGCCTGCTCTTTCAAGCCCCAGAGTTAATTTTATTCGACTCTTCCTGTTAGTGGATGACTGTGACAGATGATACCTTCTTCCTCAGGGCATGGAGGAGCTGGTGGACGCTGGAAAGGTCAAGGCCATTGGGGTGTCAAACTTCAACCACGAGCAGCTGGAGGCCATACTGAAGAAGCCAGGCTTAAAGTACAAGCCTGCTTCCAATCAGGTTCATTCATTATTTTCTCTTTGCCTTGCAGTAGTATAAGAAAAAGTAAAATTTTAAACGGTGATTTAGTACCTTTTATGACCATAACATCTGAAGACCTTAGTTAAATACCTGATATGGAAGATAGCACTGTCCCCTATCACCGTACTTGGTTAACTAAACTTGCAGATGTGCTCACTCTTTGTGCACATTCAGTATTATGGTCCAGACAACACCCATTTGATGTCTTTCATCATTTTGAATTGGATTCCTCAAGTGGGGCACAATTAGCCAGGCATTGTCAGGGTTGAGTGGGAATGAGTCTGCCACAGATATCTTGCCTTTTCCTCGGGAACAGTGACTCCAGGGGCCTGTGAACTGCCAGCGATCTTGCAAACGGATGCACTGTCCTTCGGGTTGAATGTACTGGGAGGCACTCTTGAATTCACAGCAGGTCACATGGTGACCAGGTCAGCAGTGGCTGGGCCAGTAGAGAGAGCGAGAAAAATAATTCTCATTCTGATTTACACTGTGTGTAGATTCGGTCGTATTCATATATGAATCTGATTTTTTACAGCATTGTGTACATGTTAGGGCTACCTGGTGTTGAAGGGTTTGTTTTTGGCATGGTAGAGAAACTACAGATTGCATGCAGTCTATGGTTTTGCATACGGCACAGTAATTCTTCATTAATACAATGCTGTGGCTCGGTTTGCTTATAAATCAATTTCTCCACTAGATTTCCCCTTTGTAAAAAAAATTTACCTAATTACCTAACCTAATAAACAAATTACCAAGGCCTGACACTGCTGCATATTTCACATTATCTTCCCTTTAGACTGTTGTCTCCCTGCTGTTACAGTGTTTCCAAATCTCCCACTTTTTAAACTTTGACTTTGTGAGCGTCTGAATTGTCTTCCAGTAATTATCGCAGCTGTCCACTTTCTCCTCTAATTTCCTTTCCTTCATATTTATGAAAACTATGGGATTTTTTTTTAAATATTTTTTTACTGTAGTTTGAGTGTCATCCATACATGACCCAGGAAAAGCTGATTAATTACTGCCAAACCAGAGGTATTGCTGTGACAGCCTACAGCCCGCTGGGGTCCCCAGACAGACCATGGTGAGTAATCCAGTAGATCAGGATATACAGGGTGTTCTAGACAACGCTGTGTAGGAGGAGGTGTTTTTTTTATTATTGTCAAACAGTATGAGCCTGGTGTTCTCAGGCCTTCATATGCATTCATGCAAATAATGTTTTTCCAGGTTTTAGCTTCATCGGTGGATTAACATTAATAAAACATCTAGATTTGAAGTGTAAACAAAATGTGCAAATATACTCTACATCTGTCGTATTTATAGGGCCAAACCAGAAGATCCCTCTTTGCTGGACGATCCAAAAATTAAGGCCATTGCTCAGAAGCATAAGAAGACTACCGCTCAGGTAGACTGCTGGAATTCACTGGGATTTTGAAAGTACATTACCTTTTCATGCTCAGGGTAGTGTTTGCAGATGGAAGTAACCGATCTTCATGGATGGGGGGGGGTGTGGCTGTATGCCCAGTGTGAACATTGTACATCTTGGGATTCTGTCAGAATATGCTGCATTGTGCAAACATTATGGCAGTTCCGTGAAAAACTATTATTTCTTTGTTTATTGCAGTCATTAATAATGGTAATGGACAACTATAATTAGATTGGAAGGTATACATAATAAAATTAAACATAATCCTATCTTCTGCAAAATACTCTATATCCACCAAAAATTAACAATCTAAATTAAGGATAAAGCTCTATAAATGATCAAAATGAATAAGCCATCCTGTCATTTTCCACACCATACCTAGTGTCAGCTGTGATGCACAATACAGGTATTGTTTTCTCAGGTCCTAATCCGCTTCCAGACTCAGAGGAATGTTGTGGTCATTCCCAAATCCGTCACCCCTCAGCGCATTGAGGAGAATTTCAAGGTAACCAAGGAAACAGGGATAGGAGGGCTGCTGCAAATGGATATGTTGTGGAAATGATTTGCTGTGTGCCTGTCAATAAAACCAGTGCATTCCGTTTTGCAATTGTTCTAATAGATTTTGCTGGATCAAGTTGGAAAATGCATTAGTTCAAACTGTTCTTGGTGAAGTTTGTGCAGCAATCAACTCTTCATGATGAGACATTGATTTCCATTCATTGGTTTGATCACAGTGCCCTCTTCTGGTTAGAAAGTAGATGGCTACAGACCAGATTCAAAGACACTTCCTAAGAGTGTCTCACAGAAGGTCACTGACTTCTTCAGGCTGCTGGAAAAACTAATGTAAATTCTATCATCTTATTGTGGCAGATCTTTGATTTTCAACTGGATGAGGCTGATATGAATACCATTATGAGCTTCAACAGAAACTGGAGAGCCTTACCAATGGACATGTAAGTACTGCAGATGTGAAGCACTGGAAAACCCAACTTTATTTTTTTAAAGACAGCATATTAGCTAAATGATCCTAATATGCTGAGTGAAGATCACAAGTATTGATCAGCCAAAATAAGGCAGATTACTTCCACATGTCTAAGCAAGAAGAATGAGGCTCCTAATTAACATGGTATTGCAGTACACTCACACCAGAGCACATATCCATGGTGTTAGCTTCACTCTGTAAAACACTATCACTGTTTCCAGACCCTGGCTGCATACAGTGTCTGAAGCATTAAAAACCTAAAGTTTTAATATGAAACTATGGTTTCCCTTTAGTTTCCTTAATTATTAATCTACTGATATCAAGTCTCATTTAAGGGGAAAATTAACCCAAGTGTTTTATTTTAATATACTGTAATTAACCACAGATGTTTAAGGTGGCAAGACAGAAGAGACAGTTGTGGGCTCTGGGGAGTTGCAGAGGTTTGGGTTGAATGAAAACTTGGGGGAAAAAAGTGTCTGGAGATGTAACACAAGGTACAACAGGGATGTACCAATGTGTTGAGGAAAGGGAAAGAGTATTAAGCACTGCACATTGCGTCACACAGCAAAAAAAAGTCAAAGCCTGGATAATACAGAAACTATAGGAATGAATCTCAAACTCGGCAATCTGAGCTAAGCTCCTTAGTGGCTTATTTGGAAACAAATAAGTGGTTCCACCTGGAGTCTGGGCTGGCTCATGGATAGCAGGCTGAGATATGACAGTTTTCTAATTGCTAGGGCCATAGAATAATAGATCCCTGTTTTGAAAGTATATTTTTATTGCAGTGTTTTTTTTAAAAAAACAACTGTGAAAGCCCCAAGGAAGATCTGGTATCATCTAGCTGTTCAGTAAATAATGCGTTTATGATTAAGGTTAAAAGGGACAATGTTTCATTGCACATGGTCATGCTCAAACACGGCAAATGAAAATCCTAGATCTCGAGAAACACAATAATGGGATTAAGAAGACTGTCTCCTTTTTCTGCCAGGTGTGTGAAACACAAGGACTTCCCATTCAGTGCTGAGTACTGAGGAGAGGGAGGGAGCGGAATCCAGTTCTCTTCCACCTGGATGCTACTGATGTCTGATTCTTCTGATCATGTTTTGTTTTCTCCAAAGACTTCGAGTCTTAACACATTTCCCTGAGTGGGAAAATCTTCTGTCTGCCTTCTATAAAAAGATTTATGTGCATCTGTGACCGCTCTGGTTCTGGACAGATACAGGGTTGGCTGGAACAGGGGTTTCTAATTTAAATGGGCACATTCTCTCTCGTTCACACACTCACATTATAGTTGAAAATCCTATAAGCCAACAACGGAGCAGAAAAAAATAAATAACACCACAGAGCTGTGCCTTATCCCTTTTATTCTACATTTTATACTCTTCCAATTGTACAGACATACACACAGACGGACATCTTACACGTCACATTTGCTGGTGAGGGTGGCTATGTTGTCTGGCTCTGCAGTACATCATATTTTCCCCAGTATGGAATAATAAGGCTTAAACTGAATTTTGACTCAACACAACAAGAAATCAACAGTGCTCTCCCTGAACATTATCTGTCTTCTTTACAGCATGGTAAGGTTTAGAAAAAATGTTCTTGTAAAGCTGTGAGTGGCATCAAAAATCTCGGGCAGCAAGCCCTTAAAAGAACTAAAACTTTCTTGTGTATGCACAGCAGGTATCGAAGTTTCATTACATATAAATGTCACTCCCACAACCTTTTGTGTGCCTTCTGTTCTTAGTGTTCAGTGCAATTCTGATTTGTTTCCAAGTGTCCTCTGGTGTTTTTTTTCACAGTCTATTCTGAAGAAGCCCACAGAATAGACTCATCTCTTTCGGGAACCCAGAACCACAAAAATCTCTTTTCTATAACGTGCTGAGCACAATCAGAGAAAATATTCTAACGAGGCAATGCAGGTGAATTACACAGTCTCAACATAACTCACCTTAAATTCTTTTCCTGTATATCTTACCATTATTTACTTATTTTATTGTTCCTTCTTTGTCTAAACGATGAAAATTATGTGGCATTAAAAAACATCAAAGTATTTTTGTTAATGGCTTCTCTAGCTCAATCTTTCCCCTTTTTGTATTTATAGCAGCTTCTACCTTCAGGCAAAACCCAGCATGTCTAAGATTCTGTCTGATGATGATGATGAGTCTGTCTTCTGGACAATGTGGAGAGCAATTAAAGGGATGTTATGCTAGTATGGTACTATATAACTCTAAAGAGACCCCATTTAGAATGTTTTATACAATTTTTGTCAATACATTATAGAACATGTATTGCTGTTCTGGAATTGGTTTAAAAATACCAACATGATACATTCCTGAACATTGTAAGTTAATAATTCTAAATACTGTAGAGGTCTGAGTAGGGAGCCGTGTCAGCGTTGTAGGCTTCATTGTTAAAGAAACAGAAGAAACAGTGTTCCTCTTCTTTTCAGCATGCAAACAAACTGTTGCCTTTTCATAAATATTGCAGTTTTTGTGCTGAACACTAAATTAGAAACACACCCCATCCAACCCCCTGGTGGTGACAAATAAAAGATCACATATTGTAAATGCAAAAAGCAGCACATCTGCAACAACTCCACTGATCAACATAGGTGTCCTGGAATCACATCTGTAAAACTGCACATTAACTTCTTAACATACAGCGTGTGTGGCTTCAAAGACTGAAATGTAAATGTTGTAGAGTACCTAAATAGATAAATTCAACAGCTATCTAATTTTTTTTAAATACTTGTTTACCATCTACGTTTAAGTCTGAATTGGTCATTACCACAGGCCTCTTAAGAGAAATACATTCTGTGGTCTTAACCAGAACGTTTCCTCAATACAATGAGGCCTTTCAAAGCTGTTGTAGATGTATGTTTGGACATGAATTTTGACACATAACGAGATACAGTGTATATGGAATAGTAGATTAAGAATTTAATTTTGGACTGAAACGTTCATATTTTATGAATACCTCATATACTCAGTTTGACTTGTTTTGAAATTACGTTGGATAATGAAATGTAATATACAACTATCAGAACACAATGGAAAGGGCTGGTGTGCTAAGCGAAATATTTGTATTTGCCCCTCTCTGACTCTCTGGCACTCAATCCCTAGTATCAAAAGCCTTGTGGAATCCTAGATATAAAAGTCAGAGGAACCCCACATAATGTATGCACATGGACTGAGAACTGGGTCGGAAAGAAGAAATAGCATATCAATTAAGGGGCTCTCACTGAGTTCATGGTCTGAGGATTTATTACTTACAAATGGCTTAAAGGTATTAATGACTTTAGCATATAACAAGGAGATGAAGATGAGTATAGAGAACATAAACTCAGGAGACAATTCCAGACTCAATTGTGAAACACAGACATGAGATCACAACAGGTAATTCGTTTAGGATGAAGAGCAGGAAATAGTTCTTAGTAATAGAAATTTGGCCAGGAGGCCAGGGTAACAACCTTACTCTTTTCGAGAAACGCCCTGGGAGTTTTAATAACCACAGGGAGTCAGGACCTCGGTTTTACATCTCATCCGAAGGACAGATGTAAAGACGGTGAGCTTTCAGAAATGGTGCACCACTTTCTTGACACATGGTTGTCAAATGTAACATCCGGATTGCGCAAGAATAACTTTGACTACAGTACAACCAAGAAACCAGAGGTGAGAACAATAACAATGAGAAAATGAAACAAGAATATGATTGATATCTTGTATGCTTAAAGTAGGCAGGAGAACAGACTAGGGTGATACTTTCAAGACAATTTCTGAGCAAACGGTCCTTTTGTTGTGGTTTCTATATTTAGAGACATCTGGTGTTTTCTGTGAAACTGAAAGAATGCAATTTTCACAGCACACCGTTTCGATCACTTAAAATTGCCTTCCTCAGCAGGTGGTACTTCCTGAACTGACGGGCATGAGAAAGAATCAAGCTGGTATGAAACCCCGGAAAGTCCACTGCGTCATATACCCTCCTCTGTTGTCAGACGCAGCCCAATTAATAATAAAACACAGATAAAAAGTGTAGATTTACAGGTTGGTTCTTATGTGCGTCACTGACTTAAATGTGTAGGAAGGTGTTAATTGCTCTATAACTAATACTCTAGCCAAAAACAAGAGGGAACATCAGTCTCCCTGTACACACATTTAACAAGAACACAGAACACCTAGAAAGGATTGCATTCCATACTTCAAAGGCGTGATGCTGACAGGTCAACTTCCCAACGTTTGGGAATTGTCCCAAAACACAGTGTACCTGTCTGTACTGTGCAGTTCTCTTCCAGAATGCATTTAGTGCCAGTGGAAACTGGCCTACGTGCTTTGATACAAAAATGGAAGCTGAGTGAGGTGAAACACTTTACGTGTAGAATTAGAACTGGGTTTTTTTTTGTTAGTGGTGCCCTTGAAAATGAGAAGGGAGCTATTGAGATAGGGTCATGTAGAATGAACTATGCCCCATGATCAATTCAGAGGCTTTAGGAGGATTTGTTTTAGAGCAAGGCAAATCAAACCAAGAAAGATCAGCTTATTGGTATAGCTGTAGTGCCAGGAGTGCCAGTGTTTGGTATGGAGCACAATACAATTCCATACCATTCCATTCAAACTACCTTTTTCATCCCCAGGAGGCAATTTAAGTTAAACAAGGATGTGTCATCCAGTACACATTCCCCACTTCCCACATTCTCTGGATGACTTTGATCACAGCAGCAGAGAGGCAGCTCATGAGCCCTGAAGGCAGGTGATGGAGACAGGTTGCCTGGTGCTCATATCATCAGGGTTCGTCGTTACCTAATAAAAGCATGTCACCATGCTCCTGAAATCCAATAGCGCGTCACCTGTTTCTCTGATCACCTTGTAGGGTTGTGGATGCAGACTTCAACAACAGAAAAGACTGGGATCAAGAAAAGCATCTTGCCATCTGCATGACTTTTCTCTCTTGGGGGCCAATACAGTACAATGCAGCCCAACGTCTTCTCCTTCAGGTCATTCTTTATCTTCTGATCTCAGTTTCCCCTGCTAACCTTGTCCTGTCTTCTCATTGGCTTCTCTTTCTCTAGAGGCCATTTCGTTGCACAAGAGCACTGATCCACAACCATAGGCTCCTCTATTCCAGCAGATGAAAATGACTGTGCTGTGCCTGCAACCATGCTCAAGCCAATTGGATATTTGATATGCAAAATTTCAATGTAAAATGTACCAGGACATGCTACTCCAAGAGCTAATCACAGCCAGAATAATGATAGAATGTGAGGAAAGCAAAATGAATTAGTCTGTTCAACATGTTGATAAAATATATATTTTAAGTGATTGTTTTATCATCAGTTGTGGGACTATGACGAGATTGGCATATTGCTTCAATGATAACACCAAAGAACCTTTTCTACACGAGTTCTGTCCCTATCTAGACATGATTTCTAATTGCATGCTTCTCAGATTTTTCTCATACTGTATATTTTCACCATTAAAAATATGATTCAATATAGTTAGGGGACATATCAAGTGAATCCATCTCTAGCAAAGGACAGTTGCCATAATCACTGCATACACACATGGAAAGATTGGACACCTGCTAGAAAACGTCAGACTTTGTTTTACCCCATTGAAATAAAACAGCCGAGCTGCATCTTAATTTGCATCCAACACTATAATACCTATAACATCCAAATTTATAATGAATATAATTAATAAATAAAACTAGTTTGTGGTTTCTCACCTATAGCTAACGTTTTGAGATACAGTAGCAAAATAAGTGCTAGGTCATCATCTGTGTGTTAAAAGCTGCTGTAAATGTTTTTAAATTTGGCTGATGTGTGAAGAGCTCTTCACCTCATTTGCAACACCTCATAACCTCTTCTGATTTGCATCTTTGCATTTTTTTTCTCTTTAAAACTCAATATTCTCTCCAGTTTTAACTTTGTAAAAATAACAAACAGACCACATATTCACATAACCACTAGATTATGATTAAGGTGGCCCTACACCAGTTAGATTACAAAGTTATTCTCAGATAGAAACTGTGAAGGGTCTGAAAAACTACTTGGTACTGACAAGGAGAGATATGCATAACAGGACTGTTGGGCCATACACTTTCTGTATAAAAGGTTGAATTATTTGCTCCTGAAAGTTCAGAACATTTTAACACCCGCATATACATGTAGATGAATTAAAAACACTGGACATTCCTTCTTCCAGAAGGAAGAGTATTTGCTTTCATTTTGAAAATTGCAGATATAAACACTAAGGATATTTTTCATAAATCGGCTTTCATTTTATTTCAGAGATTAAAACTATTTAAATGATCACATTTCTGTACCAATAGGTCAACACTCAGACAGAGTGGATGGTATTGTTCTTGAGACCGACCATGCATTGAGCTAGGCTTGTGAAAACATTATAATGTTTGTATGTGACATACTAAATTAGGCTTACTAAATTAGACACAACTGCTTTATGTGCAACATTTGAGCTTCAGAACTGGAATCAAACCACCTTCCCTTAAGTTCAGAAACAGAGGATGATAGCAGTCAGAAAAGTGACAACAGTTAATGTATCTAAGGTGTTTGTACATTTACATACAATTTAAATACAGATGTTTAATGTCCAAAAAGCTTTACGTTTAAGCAAACTACAGAAAAAGAAACTAAAAGAAAAGAGCTTTTTTAGATTCACACCCTGAAGACTTCCTAACCACCACGAGACATCAGTTTTAAATCAAACAAACCACTGATTGACACCCCATGTGAGAATGTACATTTTCAACCCTTATTATATAATGCAACCAGTGATTAATACACCTCCTGTGAAACCATTTACAAGAGTTAGTAGGCCCACTTTGGCAGACCCCCGCTCCATGCTCATGGTCATTCCAGCTCTGTAAATTGTGAGCTCTCAGTAACCCTCACTTGATACATACTTGTCCCTAAGGTGGTCACCTTAGAAAACCCAAAGGCTTAAGTACGAACCAAATTGGGAATTTGCTCTGTGACAGAACGCTTGGAACTTGCTGATAACAGCACTCATACACGCCAAACTACACTAACTAATGCACTCTAAAGCCAGGCCGCCATTTTAGTATTCAAGTAATTCACACTAAATGCACCTCACTTTCTCTATTACTACTTTGAATCTAGTGATTTATTTCATGGGTGCACACATGTAAGTAAATCATACACCGCTATGTGACAGTTAATCCCATGCATATCACACATATACTTACACAACAAACAGTATCCACCATTTTGAGTTTCACCTCCTGATTTAGGCCCCAAGGAAACAGAGCTTCTATCCTGGATTGTCTTTATAGATGCCTGTATAGAATCACTGATCCAGGGATGGGTAATACAACAGCACAGGGGCGCTTATTTCCCCACTACTGTATATTTTCACGAACCTGCACAGTTGAGTACTAAGTGTGATTTTCATCTGACAGAAATAATTCAGTTTATGTGTATTTGTAGTGATTAACCTTTTGATGACTGTGTTTATCCTATTTTGTATTTTGCACATAACTTCTTTAAATAATTGGCTCCCATGGAATGGGGTTAGTGTAGCAAAGCGCCTGTTCTCTTGCCACAAAAGTAGAAATGTTTTACAAGTGAGTATGGGAGGAGACAGAATTGGTGAGGGGAATACATTAATTGAACATTATTTAAAATACAACTGAAGCTACTGGTTCATTTGTATTTTAATGTTTCTCAATTTATCTGAATTTTTCTTTCTAAAGCTTTTCTTTCCTTTTCCCTGTGCTCACATCTGTTATTAAATAAATACCCATCGTTTCTTTGAAATACCCATCTTTACTGTTAGAAATATCAAGTCAGAGGTCATTAAAGGTCAGCCAGAATAAACAAGCTATTTATTTGGAAATAAGCTGTGTTTCTCTTTTCTGGGAAATATTATTGTGGGAAAATATCTTATCTTTTTACTTGTGGCATACATTACACTTTTTCCTTTAATGGCTTTGTGATCTTAGATGTCACGGCATGAGTTAACTACAGTGATAAACTGCTTTTGTTTCATCTTTTAAGTATTTGCTGAGACTACTACAAAAAAGGCCTGTTTCTTGCTTCTTTAATCTCATACTACTCATTTGTATTGGTTTCACATGTGCTCTATAATACTACTTATAAAGTATAAAGTACTTGTATGGGTTTTCTAAGTACTCCACAGCTTAATCATTCTGTCTCTTTTTTCTTCTTTTCAGCATGGAATACACCTTTACCTCTTACTTCCCATACTGTATTATAACTTTCTCTGATTGCCTTTCTTATCACATGTTAATAACTTAATGCACCTTAATGATTAAGTATCTTGACATGATGTTGGCATTTGTAATTTCACTGCTGCTCATACAGTATTGACATTGGTCTCTTCCTTCGTCATTTGCCCGGTCAGTGGAGTCACTATTTGCGGCACACAGTATCTACACCAGACAGGACAGACTACATGAGGAAATGGGCCTACTTCTGCTTCTCAAGGTCGGGAGACAATGTTGGGGAGTCTGCCACCTAATCTGCATGTCGTGAATCCCCCCCCCCCCCAAAAAAAAACATGTGACCCCAGGGAGAACACGCAAATGTCGCTCCGCCAAAGGCGTGAGGATAGAATCAAGCCCTGCACCAGAAGCTGTGAGGCAGTAGTGCTATCCACAGCTCCCTGGCGCCCGGACAGAAGATTACAATAATCAATACAAAAGGAGGAGTGGAAATGGCGAAAGAGCAAATGACCAACAGTGAGGCCTCTCAAGTGCTTGCAATTGAGTGCACATAACAAGAAGCTGATCCTGGTGGAAGGTCACAGGATCTACAAAATCTAAAAACTAAATTCTGAAATCTAAAATTTTCCAGTTAAGTTCTGTTTTATGTAATACGAGAGTTTTGTGTTGAATTTGATCTTTTTCTGCAATGAATCCTCGACAGTTTTACTTTTGTTAAGCAGAACTGAAAGAGTACTGAAATGTTGTTTTTTCTGCTATTGCTGTTTAAACCCCAAAGGGGAAATGCATACAGCTTCCTTCAGGCCGCTAAAAGAGAACTGTGCTGGTGCAATGAACTGTGTCTAAAGAAGCAAACTCTGGGGAAAAAAAAAACTGTTCCCACTTCAGTAGCTCTTCCTCTTGATTCTAATCAAAATGAAGATTTAAAAAGCAGATAGAAACAAGGTCAGTTTCACTGGTCCTTTGTAGTCCATCTGAAATCTTCCATTGTGACTATAGAGGGTGTGATATGCCAGCAGCCATATAACCCTCCAATTCACAACACACATCCCACTGAAGCTAAGCAAACGTCAGCCTGGCCAGTACCTGGACGGAAGACCTCCTGGGAAAATGCTCATCTAAAGCCATCCATTTTTCCCCACATTGTCTATGATCATGCATTAGCTTTCTTCATGACCATCAAACTGCCCAGCCCTGTGCAAAGCCACCACAGTACATCACAGAGCAAAATGTATAATTTTGTGTCTGGAGCTCTGATGCAGCTTCATTATCTGTACCAGAGAGCTGCTTATTTTAATGCAATAAGGCTCTCTCTGGTTGTGTGGTAATTATCATTAATCAGTGGTCATGAGTGGTACCGAAGAGCACATAGAAACTGATTCTGAGCAAAAACAAAAAAGAAATTGAAAATACACAGGATGGTACGAGGTTTACTTTTGACTCTAGTGACTGTATCTTTAGAATCCAAAACAGAAGTGAATCTACATAGCGTCTTCAGCCAAGTGCAGCACTCTGACTTCCAAACTCTGATTGACGGATTTTCTATTCATACAGATCTAAGCCTGTTTCTGCCTTATCAAGCAAGGCAATCACAAGAATGCAGGGCTATCACAAGCATCAAGCCTCAATCACAAGCATCAATCACAAGAAAACAGTGCTCCTGTAGTGCTATATTCAATAGTGTATTGAATGCTCATTCAGCCAGATAAAAAGATATTATTGTCAGTTACTTCTGTTAGGAGAGTGCTTATACTGTTTGTACATACATTTTCTAACTCCTAACCCTGTATCATACAGAGTTTTCTTTAGTCTGGAGATTACTCATTGTCATAACTGTGAAGCAGTCACAATGGATTGGAGGGGTGATATCACTGACATCAACAGCGTCTGGAAGTTTTAAATAGCAGCTGTGGTTTTGTTTTGGTTATGGTTTGCTTTCTTTAATGTTGTACAACACTTGACAGCTCTGAAATGTAATAATATTACTTCAAAATAAACACAGAAGATAGAAAAGACACTTAACACGGGGCTATCAGACACCTTAATCAGTGAATCTGTGAAAGTCTTCAAAACCCAAAGGCAGGGAGCTATATCTACAACCTTCTGACTAATTTTACATGCAGTAATGGATCACAAAAAGGACCTTGAGAGAACTGTACAGCTTATGTGCTGCAATGTATAATGTAATAGTTATATTATTGGGTTGTAAAAGAGATTATGCTGGTTGTACACTTCCCAAGAGGACTCTGCAGCTTTGGCTGCACTAGTTCACTAAATGCCACCGGATGGAAACTGCAGAACACCCTCAATAAGACAGAGACTGAATTACAGAGGAGTGCATGTCAAGAAATATACAGAAAGAGAAATAGCATGTGGTAGCAGCAAACTTAGGAATTATATGTGAAATTCATTCAGTGGGTCAACTTAAAATCCAAACTCAAAGTACATTAGGATCTCAAATCATTCAGAGTGACAACCATGTCAGATTTGGGATCTTGTACAATGTGAACTTTTAGGGAATTTTGTGCTGGATGAAATCTGAGTTACTAGTATATTTATTCATACAGTATATTCATTTGCAAAATGCTAAATAACTTTTGATGGAGAAATAAATATACCAACTTTTCATCAATTACTGTTTGTCTTTCTAAATGATGTACCTTTCGATGAGCTAGACAGCCCAAAAACAATACTAAGAGCCATACTGGTTACACGCAGAGAATGCTTTTTTATAGAATACTGTACACTTGAATCTCTTTTCCTATAAGGGTGAGTGGATTAAACAGCAATCCAGGTACATAAATTACATTAATGGCTTGGAAGAAACCAAATAAAACCATTAAGACCGATTCATCACCATGTATGAATTATCTCATAAGTCCGAACCCAGACTTTACAAATGCTGGGAGATCCATTGTGTTGTGAAAATATTCACAACCGTTTGTGTTCAGGGGAGACCACTTTTCTTAATATTAATCCAACACAAATTTGCAGTTATCTAGTACATAATGAGAATGTATCATTAACCATTTCCTAAATGGCAACTGTAGGCAACTGTCCACCAACTTATATCCCAATACAAATTAATGATGAGAATCAACTGTCAAATGTAGTCATGTGAGCAGGAGATGTCTTGCGTCATATGAGAAAATATCATCTGTATTTCCTCATGACTGAATATGTGCTGTTTCTGTCCTTCATGGTATTAGATCAAATGTTCTTTCACTCATCCTGTCCCAATAATAGACCAACCCAGCAAGTAACACTGGGATGAACGAAGCTGGTGTGTATTCTTATAACTTATTTTTTTAAGACTCACAAAAGACACAGTGATTTTCTATTAAAATATTTTATCAAAGTTCTATAAAATTAAAGAAATTTCAAAATTACAGTGCTGAAGCAAAGATCCCAGACAATTTGCAAGACAGGTAAGGCACATTGTTTTCTATGGAACATTACATTGATTTTCCTGAATCAATTCATTCATTGTACTTTCTGTTAATAATCCCGTACTTCTTTAATGAGGTTCGTTTTAAGACTATGAAGAGAAGAGACAATACAGATAGCACTCATTGACACACAGACCATTTTCATTTTGTTTTCAAAGTGTTAAATTCACCTGTAAAACCAACAGCCAATAACTCAAATAATTCTACTCAGGCAGTTTCTTGAAAGAGAATAAAATGAAAATTATTTTCACATCAGGAAGTTATTCCTGGCTAGCCTTCAGAAAACATGCATGTGTCTTCTTGTGCAGCTCTATAATGGTTATTATAGCATTTATTCTGCTTTACAGAGCAACAGGGTTCTATTTTTAACTAGATTATAACCCCAGGAGATACAAGACACACAGTTCAATCTGTTCTAGTAATTTAGTCACATACAAGACAGCCAGATACATCCCATCTGTCTTTCTACAATACAATACTCAGAAAGAGTGATTATTGGTGAGAGCTTGTAATAGGCTTCACTCAGTTGTGCATCTTTGCATTTTACAGCCATCTATGCAACCACACAATCATTCACCTTTTAAGATGGGTCGGGTTGTGCTGTCAAGTGTGACCGGTTAAGGACCTATTGGAGAAGAATCCTTTGCTGACAGCATTGAGAGATTGCAGGCACCCAGGAAATCACAGGCTTTGCTCTTGCTCCAAGAAAGCCATGGTCCATGTCATCCAAAGGCTACACCTGGTGACCCTGGGGCCGTTGATTCAGTTGTGCTCCACTATTAGGGGAATAAGGGTCACGGTCAGCAAGCGACTTCTTATATCTCAAATGACAGAGATCAGCTTGTACTTAGGTCAGCACCTCTACTGTTGGAGCCATGAGGAAATTAGAAATTCTTTTATTCCTCAACTCCATAAAAATAAAATAGACCCAAATAGGCAACAGATACATGAGCATTCTGCATCCCACAAGCATCGCTGTTGCTAAAGATTCAAGAAAAAGTGAAGCTTGAAAGAAAGAGAAAATTAACTTCTAAGAAGTAAAAAGGACTTTAAAGAAGGGGACATGTTGCTATGGTAATTTGATTTTGCAATAAGTTTTAAATCAGTCTGTCACAGTGAATCAGCAGACCACTGCTAAGCAGGTTAACTGTTGCAAAAACAACAATTGCTTCCTGTGAGCCCTTTATTGAAACAAAACAAATTTCAAAGTCAACGAGAGAAGAGAAATCACTTAAGTTAATGGAAACTAGGAATAATAACAAACAAACATTGTGCCCGAAATTTCAAAATGTCTTTTCGCATTTATGCATTGTGGGCCTGTCTCCACATTTCTCTCTTATTCTGACACTATTCGGGTCACTTTTTTATTATTAACAGGCCTCAAGGTATGATTTAATGTTTTTTTCTGCCATGTAGTAAGTGCAGGCATTAGGAGTAATATGGGAAAAATAAGGAAAGAAAACCATCGGTCAGCCATAACATACTCTGTACATCTTAACATTGTCAGATACGGTTAACTCAACTAACTAGTCTACAGGATTCAGGTTGCAGTGCTAGAGGATTCACTGCTTTTATAAAAACATTATCAAAGGAGGCTAAAGAACCAGTGTTATCATTTGCATTTGCTGAATGTACATCCTGTAAATTTATCCAGCTCTGTCATTTTGAGTTTAGATATATGTCAGACATTTATGTCTGTCTACATCTTGCGTTGTAGACTGTCCTGTTGATAAGAACATAAGAAAGTTTGCAAGTCAGAAAAGGCCATTGGGGGTTTAGTACACTGATCTCAGGATCTCCTCCATCCTTTCCTTGAGAGCAGTGAAAGTACTGACGACTCCCTACATTTTGTGAGACTTCAAAGATTGTGGGAGGATATTTTATATACTCGCTCTTTGGGTTTGCTCCCATACTTAATTCTTTCATCAGTTTAAATCAATCGAAAATCTCTATATTCCAGCATTGGGCAACCGGTCACAGAGTCAGTGGATCAAAAGGAAAGAGTTGTGATGACAGCAGGATTCTGTCCATAAAGTGTTCATAACTCGGCAACATCCAAACTGTTGTCTATGGAGTCCCTTTCTCTCTTAATGGATCTCCCCATTGTAGATGATTCTGAATCTTCGGCCAGGGCCCTGCGATAGACCGCCGAGAGGCTCTGGTTAAACCTTTTATTGCGGTCAAGGCCCATGCAAAAATAAAGAATGGGGTTGATGCAGCTGTTGAGGTAGGCCAGTCCCTTGAAGAGAGGCAGGCCTATCTTCACCGCCATGGACTTCTTGTTGACCATCTTGGCCAACAGGAAGAAGTGGTACGGAGCCCAGCAGAGGAAAAAGGCACAGACCAGCGCCATGATGAGCTTCAGTGATTTGCCTTTCCGGGACAGTCTTGTCTGCCACAGCTTGCAGCCAGCCAAGGTGTAGGAAATGGAGATGACCAAGAAGGGAAGGAGAAATCCGCAGAGGAAACGCACAATGTAGAGCGCCAGCTTGGTCTCGCTCCCACTGCTGCCCGGAACGTCGAAGGAGCACTTGGTGAGGTTACCGTTCTCGGGGTCGGGGGATGTCTGACGGAAAATGAAGTATGGCAGGCTGAAGCCAACGGCTAGCGCCCAGACAGCTACGCTCGTCAGCGTGGCCATCGGCAGGGTGCGGCGCTGCCGCGTCCGGACCGGCTTCAACACGGAAATGCAGCGGTCCAGGCTGATGACGGCCAGGAGGAAGACGCTGCAGAACATGTTGGCGTACTTGAAGAAGCCGTTGAACTTGCACAGGAAGGAGCCAAAGGGCCAGTAGCTGAAGAAGAGGTTCTTGATGAGGGAGGTGGTGCGGGTGAAACAGAAAATAAGGTCTGCCACCGCAAGGTTGCAGAGCCACACATTGGTGACAGCTCTCCTCATGCGGAAACCAGTTACCCAGATGACCATAGTGTTGCCACAGATCCCCAGGATGACGGTGAGGCTGTAGAGGAATATTAACACTTTTTCCATAATGGCATCAATATCCACCTCATTTTTTTCCTTAGATAGCCCCACTTTGGTGGAAATGGAGGTGTTTAGGTCCATTCTGGGGAAAAAAAATGACATAATTACCCACTGCTTCTTGAAGTTTCCCTCTGTTTCTGGACCCAGTTCTGAAGATCCGTTTAATACGTGTTATAGATTATACTCTGTCTGATTTTGCACAATAAATTGTTTGGACTACCTAAAACTTAAAGCCCTGAAACATTGCTTTTAGAAACTCTTCTTTTACACCTGCTGTAATTTTACATTGGAGAAGATATTTCATACATGGAAAACTGGCATAAGCCAGTGTTACAAACTGTTTCCCTCTTAAAGGAAACGTGTAACACACACAAGCAATTGGGTCACAACAAACAGAAAATATGAATAATCAGCTGCTGACCTCATCTTTTGCAATCGCCTCACTCTCCATTTTATTGTTGTAGAGCATAATCTCAGCCGTATCACAGATGAGGTTAAAGTTCTGCTACATCCATATGTTAAAATCAGTCAATTCTAAATGCAGAAACCTCAGCAGTAACATCTGATTTCATTTGCAAGTAATATGTATTATGCGTGATGAGTGTTAAACAACATACAGGGGATAATACATTATTTAAAATACTAAAACACATACCTCTGTGACACACACTGAATAACCGGTACAGTGTGGGATTTAAAGCAGACAATATTTATAAGATAGCTACTATTAGCAAAGCAGAAGCAGAACAGGAAAAGGAAGGTTCAAGTACGGTAAGTAGCTGCTTCAGCATGCGACCAGAAGTGGAGAGGAGGAGGGAGCAGGAAAGAAGCAGAGTGGGCACACAGGAGGTGTGAAGTTGAGAGAGGTGGAGAGAGGTGTGAGGTCAGAAATGCAAATGAATAGAGAGGATTGGAAACGAGCCAGTTGTTGAGAGAAAGGGGAAGGTGTGATCCTAGTGTCAGGATCATTTTGGTTTTGGATGTCTATCTACAACAGGAGTTCTGAAACCCCTCTTTGAGAACACAGACAGAGAAGGCAGTATGATCAAGGCTGGTAGAGGTGAAATGGGAAACTATGGGCTTGGAGAAATCCTTGATCCCCACAGCTCTGACATGTTCCCCGAAATTGTCTCCCAGTCTCCTTCCTGTTTCCCCAGTGTAGATAGCTGGACATTTTCAGCAAGAGATGCAGTAAATGAGGTTGCTGGAGGTACAAGATGTCAACTGAGTGATCTGGAATTGTCCAGAGGGGCCTTGAAAGAGCCTGGTATTGGATATATATTTTACAGTGATGCACAGAGCCAGTGTAGGAAGTGAAGAAGCATTCAATTTAACTGAGGATAGCAGATCATTCACCAAAAGCTTTTAAGGTATATTGTTCAGAATAGAGTCTCCATTTTGTCTGAAACCACTTCCCTTTCACAGCAGTTTTTATGTTTATTACTTTTTATAGCAAATGGCTCATTTCATTTGTACAATTTAAGAACCTCAGACATGATTAAGGTAATATCTCTATCATTTCCATGACTATATTTAGTCTCTCTTTTAAAAGACCGGATATTACATTTAGAATGTCAGTTCTCACATCCCCTGTCCTGCAAATAACTTCCCTCCTTGGTTTGAGTACAAGTAGAAGCTAAATGTATCATCTTTTTCTTTATCTAAAATTGTGGTGCTTTCAACACCCAATCTTCAGAAATGATGAGTAAGACTGTTTATTAACCTATATTCCTATTAAAAGTAAAGCATTGCAATTAATAATTAATCCACCACTAACAAGAAATAATTACATTTTTTAATTGGAGTTCTCTGTCCTGTGCTATAATACTGTAGGTGCAGGGGTGAAGTGAGATAGAGCATAGCTCTATTTTTGACACATTTTCTTAATCTCATGTTTTGCATTCCTTTACGTATGCGGTCATTAAGATTATATCATATAATCTCAATCTTTGAATTGTACTGCATTTCTCATTTCAGCAGGCTGTGGTATATAAATAATATTTTGTACGTAACTGTCAATATTAAAACACTAAAATAAGAGAATGGAGAACACGTCTCAGTGGATGCTGACAATACACACAAGAGTGAAAAGTCGTCCACCAGAAGATGCTGACAATTTGTGGATACAAATTATGGTCACATGGGTCATTTTGGTGTGTCCTGCTGCCAGTCATAGGGGTATATTCTGTAGTTCCATGTGTATGTATACTAGATTTCATTGGTCCATGGCTGACAGCTTGCATAAGACAGTTTTTCGACTCAGTTTATGAAAGCCCCATAAGAAGAGAAAGCAACCTGGAGAAACTAGTGCAAAAGAGATAGCTAAAATCATGCCATACTGATGGAAATAAGGTGTAGCAGGAATTGCCTATAAAGCAGGGTTTGGCAACATATTACATCAAGAACATAAACCAGCCCTTGCAGTGGAGAATACAGATGAGGATGTAAAAGGATGTTTTTGTGCAATCTGTCCTTTCTTCTTTGTGTGGTGTGGTTTTTTTTGTTTCGGAACGAAAGCAAAAAGGGGGCTACCTACTCCTCAGGGAAAAAAAGCAACGAATCGCACAAATGAGACTCCTCTGCCCATCCCACCCCCATTCTTTGAAAGTGAAATGACAAACGTCCCCAGGGGGCCTTCCCCAGCATGCTTCACCCTTGAAAATAGCCTTTTTAGATTTCCGGTACGACTTGGCACGGTGTCGGCCCCGGCTGAAAACCGCCAGGGGAGGCGACACTTGGCTGGAGCCCCTCTGACTCACACTGCCACCATGTTGACCGCACTCAAGTTTCAAAATGTCACATGTGAAAAATCAGGAAGTGCTGGCCTGTCCTGTGAGGACTAGTGTGCTGGAAATAGTCACATAGACCCAGAAAGCCGTCTAGTCTGAAGATTCAGGCTCAGATGGTTAATGTCCCTTAACGCATGAAGTCTGTTATAAAAACAATACACCCTATGTAAAGATGAAGAAGTTGGGCTATGTACTGACAGAAAAAGACTCAGTTCCCCTTTGGTATTCTGTGTGGGACTGTGCATTTTCATTAAAAAGGTCATTATGAAGTTAGTTTTCATGATAAATTAGAATACTTTCATCCAAAGGATATTTGTAGTCTTTCATGTTATGTTTTTACAAGAGCAATCGGAGAGAATTAGGATGCTTAAACAGTACAGTATCCAGCCCTGGATCTGACCACACAACTGTCAGTTTGAGTCAAGAATGCTGACCGCGCTTGCTTTTGACAGCGTCCACCCACACATCCATTTTCTAACTGCTTTGGTCATTTTAGGGTTGTGGGGGAGCCAAAGTCTAACCTGGCAAGCAACAGGACCGGAGCAGGATTTGTTGCTGACTTTTTGTTCCACACTGCTATAAATGTAAATAGTTGCATTCACTTACATTGCAATTCTGAGAATTCGGAGTTTTAGTTGCAGTCTGTTTTGTTCAGTTGATCACCACCTTTGATCAGTTCTGAAAACACGAATGCGGAGCGGTTCATTGCAAAGTTCAGCTTAGCTCCCAAAGGAGATGGATTCATTCTGTCATTCGGCACTTGGAGGAATCCAATGCAAACTATTCCTGTTACTGTTTTAACTCTGAGATGCCACTGCATTTAATCAAAAACAGTTGTTCTACACTATGGTGAAAACAGAGAAAAATGCAGTAAAGCAGAGTTTCCTCAACGCACAGTTATAGCAAAGCATTACGGGGAAGAGAGAAAGTAAAGCAGTATAGAAATCACAAAAAAAGAAGGCAACGTAAATGCCAGGTAAAAGTATGGTACAATTGCAGAAATACCATGCGAATATACCATGGTACTAAGTGCAAACGGGTTCACATTGTAGTGAAATAACATGTATTCATCCAAACATGGTCAGTATATTTTTCCTGAGCAGGGATGTGGCAACAAAGACATATTTTCTGCATATTCACTCATGCCTTTTGACCATGCAATTTCCTCTTCGACAAATATCTATTTGCCTCTACATTCATGGACTGGGGGGGGTTCTTGAAGTACATGAAGTGTGACTTAAGAGGCTGTAGTACTAACCAGGACAATAACTAGCTCAGACTCTTTGTCTGCCTAGGAGATATTAATATATTCATAATTAATTATAGATTAATTAATAACTAATGACAATGGCTATAAGTTCCTTTACTCCTGTCTTTCTCTCAGAGACCATTTAGATTGAATAGCTGTATGTAATACTGAATGCTAAATCTTTAAAAGCATTGCCGTGATATTATCTCATACCACAATTCTATGTAAGTAGTATTTCCTGTGGGGGTTAGTAAACTTCCCATCATGTTATACTAATATAATATTAACATATACTATATATATTATCATTTATATATTTATATTCATTATAGAAATGATAAGTTAATATTACTATAAATTGTATATAAAACATTGTTTATTGAAAATCCACACAGGTGTAATACAATAAAGGAAGCTTAGAAAGCCCTTTAATGCAAAGTAAACTGCACATCAACAAACCTATTTAAGAGAGCCTCGTTGCTTAACAACAATCTCCTTATGCACCTACAGTGCTGGGCACCAAGTAAGTTTCCATTATGCTCTGTGTACCAAAAGAGAACATTATCTCAAATACTGTATTTCCTTGTACAGTGCATTTGTAAAATAATAGATAAAAATAAACCTGCAGGCTGTACAAGATAACACAGGCTGGCTTTTGCAACCTGTGTTGTTCAAATAATTTTTAAAATGTATTTTCCTCCTCCATAGGTAACTCAATGCGAGTATGAGGTGCACAGCTGCAGATATTGCAATGTTTTAAAATACTTTTCTGGACAACATATTGCTGGAAAGACTGAGTGTTCCGTAAATGTAGAAGAGAGATCTCTTCTAATTCTGGGTAGTTCAACAGTACTGTAAATATTGATGACATCTGCTACATTAATGACAGACAGAAATTGTATCTATTAATACTTAGTTGTATTTTGTATGGTATTATCTTCTTGCACTCTGCCTTGAAATTTGTAAATTGTAACAAGAGAAACTGTTTGTGCAATTTGTCTACACATATTGTCTATATCCATATGCAGAGTACCACAATGTTATCTGTGTTGTGTAATTTAATAATGTAATTATAATATATATATATTATATTATAAAATATAATATATAAAAATATAAAATAATGTAATATACAATATAAAAATGCAAGAACAGTTTTCCAATTTTATAAAGAAGACTAAAGAAACGGAAGTGTTTAGCACTTCTGAAGATACCAAATATGGACAAATTTTAACTACAAAATATGAATCCCCAGAAGATTAAATGAATCAAATTATATTGCTTGGTTGTTTGATTAAGACGATAATAAAACTTAGAGTACTATATTATGATTCAGTCAAGCAACCTGGTCTTCTAATGAACCACTATTTATAAAACATGATCACTTACAGCCTCCGTTAAGAATTACTTCCAGAATTACTTCCTAAACTATTCAGTTCAGGGTTCAGGGCCTGAGTGCCAGCTTTAGGAATATGTCAATAATGTTAGCATTATGATTATTTGTAGTAATAGCAAGAGTACTTTCTACAGTAATAATAACCTCTCGACTTTTAAACAGATATATGTATAGGGTATGTATTTATACCTGCTGAGATTATGAAGAAATGCATTTTTACTCATGATCTCAGGAAAAACAAATTAATAATTCAAAGCATCAAAAGAATGTATGAATACATTACATGTTGGTGTGTGAAAAAAACATACACATGCCAATAATGGTAACTTACACAGTATAGTGTAAAAACGGCACTGGTTATTTGCTAATTATTTGTTGTAATGGAAAGAGTAATAGAAATTATTATAGAAAACAGTTTAGGATCTATCGGCATAAGTCTATATTATTGTTCATTAAAAATCAGGTAAATGCTTCTTGAATCTAAAAGGGAGTACCTACATTCAAACAACAACACAGTATGTAAATAAATCACGGTAGAACAGACCGATAAAATCAAACATTGATTACATGTCAAATTATTGGAATATTTTATTGAGTTCTTAAAAGGCTGTCTATAATCATTCTAATCACTCAAGACTTTAATAGTGCTAGGTCAAGTCTTGCTAATGAGCAAACTAATTGTTTTCTAGTTCTCCTTTAAAGTGTGTTTTTTTTTACCTAGCTATGAAAGTTTATCTGAGAAGCTGAGTGAGCTTGTAGAAATGTAAGAAATGAAGAGCCTCTCGTTTTCCTCACCTGTGTCTTGCAAAGGTTTCAGTGCTAGATGAAGAGGTGCAGAGCAGTCCGGACTGGCATCGTCTCAGTGCACAGTAGATGAGTGCACTAATATAAGTTAACAGGGGAACAAGTGTCTTCAATGCTCTGTAATTCTCCGTGGGTTGAGCTCCTCCCAGCAGACTGAAGGTTGAAAACGCCTCTGTCTTGTATTGAGAAAAAATGACCTCCCTCCCCCCTTTCCCTTCATACCAATAGCTAATACTCCTCCTTGTCTCTTGATTGGTGAGCATTGTACAGTCTTTCAGCTGTGCAGTGCTCATCTTGAAACTACAGCCAACAGCCTGGCTGATTGAGGTCTTCTGTTGTCTAGTATTGCTTAAGTGGTGTCAAGGGAGTGTCAGCAAATAAATACTGTAAGAATCTCAAAGAAAATGTTCTGAGGCCTCTAATTTAGTTCTATTTTAGTCTTTTCTGGCTCGGGTCATCATACCATTGTTCAGGAATGCTAGATTAATGTTTCTCCAATGAAACTGACATGGATTAAGATGAACATGTCATGCTCAGGTGATGAACAAGCCAAGATTGGCAGGTCATTTCACAGATCTGCAGTAACTATTTAACATTTACAAAAGATACTCTTTTAAGCCTCAATGTCAGTAAGTTGTAATAATAAATTGAGGAAGAGA